CTTTGAAAGACTTGGAGTAATATTTTGATATTCGAATAATTACATCGAATATACTTAGAAAATCTTTTGTAAAATCTTAAAATTCATTTAACTTAATTTGTTATATCGAAATATCAAAATATTTTCAACACAAAGAAAAGCAAAGCCTAAAAGCAGCATTGGTCTCGGCTCGAGAGGGAAAAGGCCACCGAAAATCGAAAAGGTGTAAGAACCGACTGATTTTTCTTAGATCTATGCTATTTGAGGTTTATTTTGGGGATTTGAGGCTCGAATTTAGTTTCGAGGTGTTGAGGGGAACATTTCAGTATAGTTTTGTTTTTTCTGGCCACCGCCAGCGGCGGTGTGGGCGGTGGTTTTGTCTCGGGAAGTTGGTTGGCCATAGGTCAGTCGGTTTAAAGTTTAGAGAGTTTAGATGGAAGAGAGGTTTTTTTCGTGAAATATGTTGAAATGATTTTTTTGGGGTTAAAAGGGCTATTTATAGGGAGGGTTGTTCTGCAATTATGAAATTCTTAAATTATTTCTACTGTCTATGTAGTTTTGATGCGTAATTCATTTTGGTCACCTATTGTAAATTGGCCCTTGAATTTAAAATTTATTCAATTTAATCCCGATTTAAATTTCTTAAATTTTGCAGTTTTAATGTGTAATTTAATTGACCCCTCCTAACTTATCGACCAAAGATGAATAGAGTGGTAGAAGCATCAAATAAAAATATCAAGAAAATAGTGGATAAAACGACTAAGATGTAGAAATATTGGCACGAGAAGTTACCTTCTGCCTTGTTTGTTTAACGAACTTCAGTGCAGACTTCGATTGTGGCAACCTCATTTTCATTAGCATATGGGATGGAGGTTGTATTGCCCATTGAGGTGAAAATCCCATCACTCTGGGTTTTGTTAGAAGTTAAACTAGATGATGCAGAATAGGCGCAAACTCGATATGATCAACTAAACCTAATAGAAGTTAAAAAGGTTGAAATCCATTCACCATGGTGGACTTTACCAAAAACGAATGATCCGAGCACACAACAAGAAGGTGTGCCCAAGAGTATTCCATGAAGGAGATCTTGTACTGAAAAAATATATTTCCAATCCAAAAAGACTTCAAAGGAAAGTGGATACCAAATTGGGAATGGCCTTATGTTGTGAAAAAGGCATTCTCCGGAGAAGCACTAATCCTGGCTGAAATAGACGGGCCAGAACTACCAAATCCTCTCTGATGCAGTCAAGAAATATTTTGTTTAGGGTGAAAACCCAAAATGGCACTCTAAGTTAAAAAAAGGTTTATAGTGAAAACTTGAAAGGGCGCTCTAAATAAAAAGGAAAAAGATAAATAAAATGTGGGTCCAAGATGAAAACCCGCAAAGGGCATCTTGAAACCGAGGGAGGATCCAAGTTGAAAACCTGAAATGGAAGCTTGAGTAATGATCTAGGATCCATACACGGGAAGGTCCCTGATCAAGGCAATAAAGCATCACGACGTCCAAGTCTTCTTCAAATGACTTGGTGATTTGGGAGGAGTTTTGCACACTTCCAAATGTTTCCACATCTTCGAAGTCCCCTTGACAAAAGCTACACTCAAAAGTCATCTAACGGCATGCCAGTTCAAAAGCGTCCATATTATCGAGATCTAGGGCATCTACTTGTATTTCTGAATAACTTCGTTTTTTATGTTTGCCATGTATTTTATTTTCCACATAAATAAATATGGCCATTTGTCTGAGAGAAATCAACTCCTTAGCATCTTACATTGAATTTAAATAAGAATAATTTATTCACTTTTGAAAAGATCATTGTGTATTATTGCACAAATATTTCTTGAAAGGTACAGGTGTTTGGAAGTAGGTAAAGGTTCTTGCACCATACTCGAAAGAATGGCACAGATACTAGGAATTGATTAAGATTAGAAGCAAATCTTCTTTCTAAAAATTCCTGGAGAGGATATCAGATCAAAGAATCCAAAATCAAGAATCAGAAATTCAAGATTGGCAGGGATCAAGAGACGTCAGAAAAATGAAGACTGACAGCAAGAGATTGAGATTTCTCTCTAAAAATCCTAAAATAACATACTTCACATATACATTTTAGGCATATTGCATTCATAGCATCGCACATGCATAGTTTTTGCAGATTTTTATCAGAGTCAATTTTAACTTCACAATGAAGGATATTGAACTCGGGGAACAATCAAGATTAAGGACAATACAGTCCATCCAAGTTGGATTTCAATTTCACGATGAAGGATATACGGCTCAGAAAATATATTCAATTTCGACTCAACTTCATGACGAAGGAGTCACCCACGATTTCAACTTCATAACGAAGGATATCGTGCCCAACAGATCGACTTAACTTCAGAGCGAATGATTCATCTGCAACAAGGAGGAACTATCTCAACAAAGGTCATATAGTCAAATTCCAACTTCACGGCGTAGGGTATTGGGATAGAATATGGCGAGGGCGTACCGCCTACTCCAAGCATCGAGCTAGATTTTAACTTCACAGCGAAGGATATCACGCTCGACTGACTCAACTTCATGACAAATTGGTCAACCACAATTTCAACTTCATGACGAAGGATATCATGTTCAAAGATATCTCAAGCTTGACTCAACTTTACGACGAAGGAGTCACCCGTAATACAGCTCAACAACAGGAAGCCATATTCTATTTTTAAGTTGAATTTCAACTTCGCGATGAAGGATATGCGATAAAAAGAGTCGATTAAGACACTGAGTCAGATTTTAAACTAAGAGATCGACAACCCTCATAAGAAAATGCTTGCTTTCAAGTCCACGTGCACCAAACGAAAATTTGTATCTTTTTGTCTTTGCTCTATTTTTGTTACACAATAATGGGCAAAAAAGGGCAGTTGTAGTCACTTATTTTCGTCCGGTGCTTATTTAGTATATATAATAATATAGTATAGTTTTTGAAAATATTTTTGAAAACATATAATATATAGTTTTTAGAAAACGGTTTTTGAAAGCATATAATATATAGTTTTTAGAAAACGGTTTTTGAAAGCATATAATATGGTTTTGAAAACACATTTTTGAAAACGTATAATATATAGTTTAAAAACAGTTTTTGAAAATATATATAATATAGTTTTGAAAACATATTTTGAAAACACACACATATATATATAATATAGTTTTGAAAATATATATATATATGTTATATAGTTTTTAAAACGATTTTTGAAAACATATATAATATATATAATTTTAAATTTTTTGCAGTTAAATCCTTTTTAATTTTAATTTCTTATTTTATACTTCTTAATTTAATTTTGTTTTTCTTTAATATTTAACGCTGGTTTGATTTATATTTTTTTAGGTCAATTTTAAATTCTCCAATGGTAAGTAATTCGGACCGAACTTATAAATTTTAATTTGACTCTTAATTTTCGCCGTTAAGACAATTGAGAAATTAAATTGGTACCAAAAGGGCAGTACATGAGTGTTAATCATTCCCTGACTGTAATCGACTCCCGAATCTGATTCAATTCTGGTAAAAATGCAGATCTGGTAAAATGGGAAATTAAGGTATTCGACCAATCTAATTTTAAATGATAGGTGGCGGCTCTAACCCATTAAATTTTAGTCGAAGTTCGATTCTGAGCTCATCCGAAGGACGGTTACGACACCATGCAAGATAAAAATAGATAATAAAATGACAAATAACGAACTGAGTATCATGTTGAGATGGTTGAATCATTATGAACCCTAAAAAATAAGCTGCGTGCACAAATGTGGCATATAAAAGAGGAACTTATCAACTTAATTAACATCTTTGTCTATATTGTTTTAGAGGTACCTATAGGTTAGGCTGCAACAATTGTGCTTTACAAAAAATTTATAATTTTCTATTGTAGTCGTTCGTAATATTTAACGTGCATGGACGAAGTTAGAAAATTTTTGAAAGGATTAAAATTAAATTATAAAATATTTAAAGGTTAAACTATAATTTTATCATTGTTTTAGTTTATAATTTTATAATTTTTAAAAGTAAATTAGATTATGGTCATTAAACTTTTAGGATATTTCATTTTGGTCACTGAAATTGAAATATTTTTAGTCATTTCTATTAAGAAACACTTTTATTTCAAGCATTATCATTGACATGTGGACATGTCAAATTAGGTGCCGTTAATTATTTAACGACCCAGTGACCGAACTTAAAATTTTTCTTAACGAATATAGTTCTAATATATTTTTTATTTTGATGATCAAAGTACAAGTGCCTTAAAAGAATAGTGATCATTAGTATAGTTTACCCTTTTTAATAAGATTGTGGTTATATCTGACTCAGTAAAATTAATCTTTATTTAGATATATTTTAGGGTAAAGTATGCAAATGATCCTCGATTATAGGATACTGCTTTGTTGAGTCCCCTAGCTATTAAAAGTTATAAAATGATCATTTGATTATTCATTTGTTTTAAACTCGTATTTTTTCTTTAAAAAGATTATGACAGTCTGAGCTGGACGTTAAAATGATGACTAAAATATTATAGTCGTTTGAGATTTTGGGATCATATTTTATCATATCACGATCAGCAAGTTAACGTCCAGCTCAGACTTTCGTCAATGTTTTAATAGAAAACAACGAGTTTGAAACATGTAAATGGTCAAGTGATCATTTTGTAACTTTTAATAATAAAGATGTTTAACAAAATAATGCCCTATAATTGAAGGATAATTTCGTAACTTTTAATAGTTAGATGACTAAACAAAACAATATGTTATAGTTGGAGAATAATTACTTATCACAGTATAGTAGTTGAATTTTTTTTAACCAATTAAGAATACACCTTACCGATAACATTTCCTAGTATTATTTAGGCACTTGATGATAGTTCATATTTATTTAGATAGCTAAACAAATTGACAAATGACGCATGTGATTTAAATCTACGAACCCTCAAATGCTGCTATAAATATGTATGCATCTACATCAAGTTAACACACAAATTATCATACCATTTCTCTTCGATTCTTCCAATGACTGAGACGTCAATCACCAACAATTTGTCATCTTCTTCATCTGATAAACAATCGGGCCCTAAACCCACTTCGTCGCTAAAGCTATTTGGCTTTTCACTGACCGAGCAAGACGAGGTTCCGGATAAAGCTGGATATTTCGGTGAAAGCAGGAGATTCCAGTGCCCGTTTTGTCGCCGGGTATTCGCAAATTCACAAGCACTTGGCGGGCATCAAAATGCTCACAAAATAGAGCGTCGAAGAGCAAGGCGAACCCAGTTTCACACCCATCATCATCATCAACGGTACTTGGCAGTTGCGCCGCCCGTTTTAACCGTCGTCCATGCTGTAAGGTCGACGCCGCCGGGGTTCACAACCACCACCGGCGGTAAATTCGTGTCGCAACGGCCACAGCTGGTTCGTTCGACACCTTGTGATCAGTGCCGCCCTGGGATTTACATGGCGCCGCCATTGTATTTCGCAGCATCAGCTGCAGAGGCGGACGTAAACGTTGATCTTCATCTTAAACTATCCCCTTCAGGTTGTTAGATATGAATTGTAACAAGGATTTTAATTAACCCCTTCTTTTCTTTTTCTTTTCTTTTTTCTTTTTGCTGTTTAAATCGTGTTCTCTCTCAATGTATTAAAGAATTTGGTAGTTAATTTGGTACTTAAACAAGTTACGTTCTTCTAAATTTTCTATTTTTAGGTTAGTAATCGAGTTTTAATTTCATTTATTATTTTATTACTTTTATTACCGTTTTAATCTTTATAATAACTCGAACCAACTTACCTTAATAATTAAAAAAATCATTATTATAAGTTATAAATTCGAACACCAACGAAGAGAATTTTCATTAATATTTAGAATAAGTATTATTTTGTAAACACTATAACTTAATAAAAAATATAATCTTTAATAATATAATGATATAAAGTTGTAAGCTATCTATGTCATAGTTTACTTTAATATAATTTTTTTAAAATTAATGAGTAAATACAAGACATTAGTGTTCAAATTTAATACAAAATCTTTAAATCTATTAAAAAGTTATAAAAACAATAAGATAATCAAACCAAAATAATATTAAAAAAATAGGGTAAACTGCTTTAATATATATATATATATATATATATATATATATTCATATCCGACACTTACATTAGACGCATTCTAAATTAGATGGGTTATAATTTCCAAACATTTATGAAAAGAAAGACCTTGAACAAATACGAATACTCGAGTCCGAATAACATAGTTCCGAAGACATGCTTTTCGTCGGAAATTACGGCTTTCCTCACTCCTAATCCCATGACTTCCATCCAACAAAAAGACTTGCACAATAGAAACGATATCAATCAAGAATGTTCAAACATAAAGCTACAAATTTTAAGAATAAGCTCTTGAAAATTTGGCCTCATATCAGGTTATATCCCTACATCATGGGCATATAAGAACAGCACATCGAGTAAGAGAGCTCGGACCTTAGTTCTATTGCAATAAGGACTCGCGTGAAGAACCTCTTTTGCGTATATCTATACCATAAGACTCGAATGTATCGTTTCCCCTACATTCAAGGATCAAGGTATCAGTTAAAACAAAGCAAAATATGTGAAAGTTGCATTTAATTGTGCTATCCGATGCTAGACCACGTCAACTTCCGTATGTAAGGGAAAATACCCTCCCTAGTACCGGTTGGGTCACTAGACCAGTAGGACAACTTTATATCCTTACGCAATTTGAGTTGCGAAATAATGTAATTACGTAAAAGTCGAAAGAGATATGAGCAAACATTAGCCGAAAATGCAGCTGACCAAACCAGCCATAGATGATAATATCAAGGTCAAATCATGTTCATCTAAACCAAGCAGGTGGAAAGTTTCGAAAAATAAAACTTTCGGAGGGCCGTTTACCTCGTAAAACTGATGCGGATGTATTGAAATTAAATTGTAAATCAACTTCCATTTGATGCCTTGTAAGATATGCTTCCAATTTCCTTCTTGCAGATAATATAAGACCTAAAATCGCACAAGAATAAATGTTATTATCGTCTCACATGCCAAATCCACGAGAAAACATGGAAACTATATGATCAAGTATTTATCCATATTCATAACAGTTATTCTATTTCACAGTCAAATAGCAATGAATATTTAACTGTCCCGTATGAGACCGCGACCTTCTGCATGGATACTAGTCAATGGTCATTTTCACATATTTTTCATTTTATAGAGGTATCAATGAAATATTATGCACTCAAACATGCACAAAGGCAGTTGGTGGAGAAAAAACATGCACATGAGCTCTGGATTTGCATGTGAACAGTAAGTACCTAAAAATAGAGCCGAGGGCTTCCCAGGACGTGATTTAAATTCTGGATGAAACTGCACACCAACATAAAATGGATGACCTGGAAGCTCCAGAACCTGCAGAACACAAAGAAGAAGAAATGCACATGTAAACCCACAACAAAAGAACTTCAACATGAGGGGAAAATGCACATGTAAACCCACCTCCATCCTTTTCCCAGTTTCATCCTTCCCGACAAATTTTAGCCCTGCTTCTTCAAGAACACCGATGACATTTGGGTTTACCTGCAGCATGGTCATATAAGGAGCAAGAAATCATATTGTAAGATATGAAATTATTCCAGTAAATCCAAGTTTTCTCTTCTTTCCAGTTGAATCAACTTGACTAACCTCATATCTATGACGGTGTCGTTCATCTACATAATGTGGATTGCAGTACCTAGCCAGTGGTATAATAAATAATTTATCGTGCATGGCAATCAAAACAGACGATTAGAGCAGGAGCACCTACTGAACAATAAAAACAGGCTTTCCTTTTGGTGCATAAAAAGGGCTTATTTTACAGACCAACGTCTTGATAAATAATTCAGATGAAGCAACAATTTCATGGGAAGCAAGCAATGCCACCTAAAAAGACAGCATTGTACCCTTGTAAAGTACTTGGTATTAAATAAACTTCTTCATCCAGAGGTCAGAAGGCAACAGCACCCATTGCACAAATGGGAGACAAGTGAATTCAGATTTTTTTCTTTTCAGAAGCAAAGCTAGAACAATTTTCTAAATTAAACAATCAACAGATAATAACATACAATTTGGAAGTAACACAATCAGGGTTCTGAAATAGTGTTCTTCGAGATCCCAGTCTCATTGTGCTTCCCATATGCGTCCTGGAGCCCTGACACAAAAAGTAGAAAATAATTTCACATGCTTGTGTAAGATGTATGAAAAAGTACAATGAGGAAGAATATATACTTCAGGCATAAAAATGACAACAGGATCAGGTGTATCCTCATCAAACTCACGACTGTTTGCCTTTTCTAAACCAAGAACCTGGATCAAATAATTTGAAAAGCTTTAATGTGTGACTTGGAAAGTAGGAAGCATGAATTTGAAAGAAACGTCTCTTACAGATCTGGCATACTCAATGACAGATATCTGCATGCCCAAGCAAATACCAAGATAAGGAACATTATTCTTTCTAGCATATTTTGCTGCCAATATCATTCCACACACACCACGATCTCCAAATCCACCAGGAACTAGGACACATTCAGCATTCTGCAAATAATAGTTTGAAAAAAGAAAATCATTTTCCGCAACACCAGCTCGTCTCTTTAGAGTACGCTATTCTGCCTCAAAACAGTCCAGTGACCTAAATAGAAAGGGATAACTATTGAACTGATAATGCATGATCCAATTTAACACAAACTTAAGTCTTAAGGACTACATAAATAATCAATTTTTAAACTAACTTGCAAGAAACTAGACCATAAAAGTGCTAAACCAAGATAGGTTGTTAGGTAAAGAATCTTGCAGTGCAGGAAGTTGAGCATTTAAAACAATGGGTACAAGTACAACTATAAAAGGCTTACTCTTAAACTCTTCCATGCGGCAGCATGAGCTTCTGGTGCCTGGATGAGATAGAAAAATATTTAGACTGTCATTTTCAGAGAAATAAAAGAATGTAATAGCAAAAGTGCTACTGGATCAGTACCGAACGGGCAGTATCATCTTCAAGATCTGAAGCAGCAATCCAGTCAATAGATGGCTTCAAAGAGCATGCAATACAAGCATGTAAAAGTGCCTATGAGCAAAGGAAAACATTTATAGTGAGGGGTAGTAGAAAATAACGGTGATTACCACCGGAATATATTAATCAATCAGGAAGATGCGGAACTTCTGTATCCAGAAAACATGCAACTAATTAGGAGGCATATGGCTGTACAGCAGGCACCACTAATAGAAAAATACCTAGTTTTCACAATTTGGCTTTTAACAAAATGATCTTAGCTTATACAATAGGATGTAGGATATGGTGTAACACAAAGTTATGAAGTGATCCAGGTGTTAGCCTCTCCAGCAAATGAAACATTTGGATAATAGTTTATGAAAACCTTACCAGTTACCAGGCATCATAGTGTAAAAGGATGAAAAGATGGATAATTTAACAGCGATAATAGTATACCAGAAGGACTTTTTGTATAACATAATGTGTACATCAGGATTTTTCCAAAAGATATAGTAAAGGTAAAATTAAGGATGTCCAAAAGCCATAAAATTAAACTAGTATTACACCTTCACGACAGATAGATATGAGTCTGTCAGACCAACATACTTTCCCACCATTGCAATCTTCACCTGCACACAAATGATACGTTTTTGTATCACAAATGACAGAATTTCTTCTATTTCAAACTGGACAATTACAGCTAAATTAAGAATACTAACTGAATCAGTGAGATTATCAAAAGTTTCTGCCCTCCTGTTCCAAGCTTCTAAATCTGGAGGCGTGGCAATGCTGAAACACTTTAAAACTACTTAGTAAAACTGGTAAAAACTTCCTGCAACTAGTACTTGATCCAAATTTAATGGTAAATTTGGTAGTTAACAGCAACAATTTTTAATGCAACAGTCTGACATGCCAACTAGTAACAAATATAACCTTTTGCGCCTATAACTAAAATCACTGAGATAGAAATTGAAAAAGAAAAAGAAAACAATCAACTAGTTATGTACCATACAAAATATCAGTGGCGGATCCATATATAACCCAGGGTGGGCACGGAAATTCGAATTTCGTTACTTTAGTTGTTCATTTTACTAAAAATGCCTATCCTGAAATTTTATTTGTGTCCGCCCCATACAAAAAATTTCTGTTATTAATACATATTTGCCTACTCTGAAAAATATTTCTGTATTCACCACTGCAAAATATTGATTGCCTCAGCCAGCCACATTGTGCGGGAAGAGTTTAAGTCATAACAAATAAACTTAGTCCAACGATAAAAATAAAATAAAATAAATTAAGAGGGAGATGATGGAAATGTTGACTAAAAACTAACCTGAGCAAATTCAGCTGTTTCAGAATTGAATGATGGGCATTTTGGTTCTGAAGCAATAGTCAATATGGAACATCATTAAAAAAAAGAATGAGAGACTAGGTTTCCTTAAGTTCCAGAGAAATGAAAAGCTGCGATGGAACATACTCTAAGTAAGAGAGGAATATGCCAAATGTTGGGAACATCATGAATATTTAGGATGTTGGCAGCCTGTGGAGAACCACAAGGAGAAAAACACAATTGATAGTCAAGATGACAAATCTAAATCAAAAGAATACAAACCAAATTTTGCAAACAAATTTACCTCCACGTGACAAAATTGTGAAAGTTTCACCTTTGTATTATCCAATAAAGGCTGTAAGTCACCAATCAAAAGAGTATAATTACCATCAGTTTGGGACAAGGACAAATCAATAAAACAAAGCAATCAAAAGGATACCCAGCAAAATAAGAAGAGAAAACACAAGTAAAGCCAAGAGCTAAAGCAGAAAAAATGCAATTTTAAATAAAATATTCATATGATATGAATGCCAAGTTATATATGACAAGTCCAACAATATGTTCTAAGCAAACTTACAAAAGTAAAGTGCCAACACAATGCCACACTCCAAGAAGATGATTGCTAGGTTCATGCCAACCCACTTAAAAACTAATAAAAATGCCTAAAAAGTGCTACAATGATCCAAGGCTGTAATACTCCAGAAAGAAAAAAAATGGAATGATGCAATTCTTCAAAAAGATACTAATCACAAAATCATCTACAGCATGAAAGTACATGAAAGGTAGTGAACCTGAGCTGAGCGACATGCAAGCAGATGAGGAGTCAAGCCTAATGCCCTAAGTTCTCGAACACTATGTTGTGTAGGCTTAGTTTTCTGCATCATAGAGAGAGGGAGGGAGAATTATTTTCACCACAATTGGTGGCAATGTCTAATAAGGAACTTAACTAACCTCAGTTAAAAAATAAAATCTAAACAATGGCCTAAAAGAACTAGCAATTCATGTATTATGTTTAAGGAAAATTATGGTGTATTACTTGCTCTCCAACTACACCCAGCACAGGTATTAGGCTGACATGAATGAGGCAGAAATTATCTGGGCCTGAGGAAGGAAATGAAATGTATTACAACACATGAAGATTCAAATCCAAAGATGCTAAATAGACTGATATAAAGTCTCTTTGTGCCACACAATATATGCATAATCAACTGTTTTAGATTGAGAGTTTAACAGGATGGTAATGGCTACCAATTGTTCAGAAACCTGAACAGTCAATACTTCTCGTTTATCAACTTGAATCTGTTTGTACATGACCACACTGAAAATACATGTCCAAAGTATTTAACCTATCGATCAGCATAGTGTGGAGCATTTAAATAATGCATAAGTTGCACAGTTGGCAGCACTGCATACTTAAATTGTATTACCAAAGAAAAAAATGAATCTAGGCCGATATATTCCTTATTAACCTAGGTTCTCCTAAAGGCACAACTTTCTGGCCTGTGACTACATGTAGATCCAAAAGGTCATCAAATATGTGTTGACCTAAATAAGCACTGGGCACCGCATGACAAGGTAAATAATCAAGTTGGAAGAAAACGATTCACAGACAAACAAAGCTTCGTAGTACTATTAACCTTTCTGAATAAATAGAAAACAATAGCTTACCAACTGAAAAGGACAACTGCCGCAAAGCCTCAATGAATGGCATTGATTCGATGTCACCTAAAGGAACACCCCAACCCCCAATAAAAAGGATCAATCATTTCTCAACCCCCCAAAAAAAGAAAGAAAAAGAAAGGAATAGGGTGAGTTCTTGACACGTCTAATGTCTTTAAACCATGGTTCATACCAACAGTGCCTCCCAACTCTATCACACAGACATCTGCATGACCCTCTTTTCCATCTACAGGAATGACAGCAACTGACTCGATCCAATCCTTAATAGCATCTGTGATGTGTGGAACAACCTGGGATCCACATAAAAGTGAAAAGAACATGAATTTCATCCTTATCCTTTCTTTAAGCATACAAAAGTAGCAACGTTATTGGTAATAAGAAAGGTCACCTGAACAGTCTTTCCAAGATAATCACCTTTCCGTTCCTTATCGAGGACGGACTAGCACAAAAATACAACACGATTACTAATTTTCACCCACTAATTTAAATCAAGTGAACACTGAACAAAAGCACTAGCATCTACCCTGAAAAAACTGAAATACCTGATATATCTTTCCAGTAGTGATGTTGTTGTCTTTAGTAAGAGTAACATCTAGGAAACGCTCATAATTACCCAAATCCAAATCAACCTTTTAAAGACCAAACAACAACATAAACAAAATTAATTAATATTATATTGCAACGAGGTCCATTTTTTTGGAAATTTCTGTAAGAACAAAATACTAAACGCTAGAGACAAAAGAAAGGGAATAGTAAAACCTCTCCACCATCATCAAGAACAAAAACCTCCCCATGTTCAAAAGGCGACATGGTTCCGGCATCCGTGTTCAGATAAGGATCTGCAAATATGAAGATTAAGGAACCGCTAAAGGAAAGCATAATCAGGAGGGTTATCAAAGTAAAATCTAAAATAAACCGAGAAAAGTTAAGAAGCTAAGGAACCAAAGAGCAAGCCATAACAATAATAAACACTGAAAAGGGAGAGCAGATTATATAAAGCTTCCACCTAATAAATGCACCCAAAATGTATCACTGTTGGTCGAAAAGAACGAACCCAGAAGCCTGAACCCAAACCCAAAAAAAGAGGGGAAATTAAAGGAAAAAAGAAAGAAATAAACCAATTTTAATGGAAGTAACACGAAGGCCACAAGCTTGAAGAACGACGCCTATGCTGCTGGCTGTGACGCCCTTGCCAAGTCCACTAACGACTCCTCCAGTAATCAAAACGTACTTCATTTCTGATATCTTTTGGGGGGAAACACTGGATTAAAGTAATGGTGAATGTGTTGCAGGCGAGGTGTTTGATTATTTGAAGAAGAAGAAGAGGAAGAAAAAGCGAAAATGAGTTTTACTGGAAGTCGCTTTCCAGGTTTACCAGCATTTTAAATAAACAAATCGGTCTTTGAAAGCATTAATAACCGAAAACTTTTTAGGGTACAAAGTCTAAGTTTGTAAAAATCCCATCTTTTTCATTTTATTTTTCCAGGAAAAAACACCAGAATTTTGCACACACGTGTAATCTTTCTCTTTTTTAAGTTAAAGGGTTTGTGCATAAAATTTCTTGGTCGGTTCTAATCTTAAATGATAGATTTCACTAAGAAAAACTTCCATGTTATTAATTTATTGTTAATTCATTAACAGCAGTTTACGTAGCATGTTAAAGAACCCTAAAAAAATTGACAGTTATTGCTCTCATTTTATTGTTGTTTCTATAGTTGTTCAATAGATTCTTCAATCGAAAAGATCATTGAATTATTTCTCCTCGTTCTCTTTTTTTCTTTCGATTAAAACTCATCAAAAAAACCTTCTAATCTCATTAAAACTAAAAGTTAAAACTTAGAAATTTATCATTTTCACAGTCGAATCAACTTAGAATCGAACTATGTTAATCTTCTAATTAAATAAAACCTTTTCATCTTTAGAATTGATCAACTAGTACTACATTCATAAAAAGTTGGTATTTGTGGTGGTTGTTTGGAACCTTAAGGGTTAGTTTGGTGAAGAAGACTTTTATCGTGTCAAGCTAGCTTTTCTTCACGACAACTAATGGCAATAATTGTAATAAAAAAATGAAATAAAAGTTTAGTAAGATTATAAATAATTCATCTAATTTCAAAAAGTTACAAACGAGTCACTCAATTAATTGGTTGTTACTAACAAGTTATTGGATCGTTAAATGTTAGATGGCTTTCTGATTGGTATATTTTATTCATTAAAAATATTAGATTTTAAAAAATTACAATCAAGTAACTTAATTAAATGATACTAATAATTAAGTCACCTAATTAATTAATTGTTGCACTTAGTTTATATAACATCACGGCAACCATAGTTGACCATCATATACGATGGTCGATGAATCTATGAATTCATTATAAGATTCATCTCGATCTTTCAAATTATCAAATTAAATTATCAAGAATCTCTCTTAAAAGCCACGAAATCATTCCAAAACTTTTGAACTTCTTGAATCTATGTCTATGTTGTCCATTGTCTAATGACCTTTGTCTTGGGTAACCTATGTCTGTTGTCCATCTATGATCCTCCCATGGAGCCCCGATCTTCGAAAGTCTCAAAACCTAAAATAATTTTCTTTTTTGATTAATTAACTTTTTTTAAATTGGATAACCTATTTATAATATTACTAATAATTGAATGACATGTAGCGTAACTTATCCAATATGAAAATCATTAGGAAAAGTTTTCTAACGACGCCTTCTAATGTTCGTTCCATTTTCAAAAGTCCGTTGACATGTTTGTGATAATCAATTACTTGAGTAATTTGTTTATGTTATTTTAGAATTTGATGAACTATTTATAATTTTATTAATAATTGAGTGACTTGTAATATAATTTTATTATAAATATTTTTAAAAGATCAACATAAATACAATATGTTTAAATATAAAATAGACATATAACAGAATTACTCCAAATGTTTGTACAAATATTTATTTTACATATTTTTTTAGAGTATTTTATCTCATAACGTTTCAACTTTTGGTCAAAACAACAATTATTTAATTAACAGTAAATTCATATTGTTGACATGATATTTTTATATGTGTCAAATTGTTAATGTAATATATATCATGTCATTAATTTTGATGATGTAGTACATGTCAAATCATCACTTTAGATGACATGATATATAACACATCATTATTTTAATTGATGTAATACATTATATACCACGTCAACAACATGAATTGACAATTAATCGATTAATAACTTCCATTTAATAAGGTTTGTTTTGATTAAAAATTAAAATATTGAAGGATAAAATACTTTAAAAAAATAAAAAATAAAGTAATTATTTGTACCAACGTCGAATATATTTTTATCATTATATATATATAATATTCAAAATCTTAAAAAGTGTTATTCTAATTTCTCACTAATATTGGCACAATGAAGATGATGCAAGGGGCGTGAAGAATAAAGGTAAAATACGACAACATACAATAGCAATATAAAAACCATACAAAGTGACTCATCTCGTAAAGTTTTATAATCCCCTTTGTCTTTGCCCAAAATAAAAAAGATTTCCTTTTTCTTTCTTTAAAAAAGTGAATGGCTCTCCTCTTTCCTTGAAAATGAAAACATATTGAAGTTATTTTTATTTTTAATTTTTTTTTCAATATTCTTCTATTCATCGCCTTGTTTAGATGGTCATGAGAGAGCTTTGCCCACAGCCACCTAACAAAATGCCCTTTTGTTTATGGTACTCGATTATTATTCGAACAAACTTTAGGTACATGGCCTATAGTTTTAGGGTTGGAATGGACTTAATCCACATGAAAAGTTTTATATTTTATTATTTTGGCTTGGATTAGATGCTTCCATTCATCAAAGCTGGCTCCAATCTATATCTGCAATGCAAGAGTTAGACCTAGTCCTACATAGACAGGTTATAATTTTTATATTTAAAAATTCATATTTTCATATCCATATCCATATATATAATTTAAATTTAAATTTAAATTTAAATGATTAGGATTTGATAGTTATTATAAACCAATTAGGTTGAAGAGTTGATGAAAAAAGTCTGAGATGGAATTCAATAATGTTGGATTCGTATTTTTTAAAATTTTAAATTTTTAAAAATATTTTTTATATTTCTTATTGATAATTTAATTTTTTATCTTTTTAAACGTTGTAATTTTTATCCTCTAATTTTAAATATAACTTTTTTTTGAGGAAAATAATCACGTGTCAGTTTTAATATACGGTTAAAAAAGGCGTTACCGGTTTTGTTATTATTTAAATAACAAAATCGGTAAAAAATATTGTAAACATTATTATTTCTATCGATTTTGTTATTATTGGACGTTTTACCGGATTTGGTAATATAGCTGGTAAAAAATAATGTTTTATGTAGCGCTTTACCGGATATATTATCAAGCTCGGTAAAGCGCCCAATATTAACAAAACTGATAAAAATAATAATTTTTTATGTAAATTTTATCAATTTTTTTATTTAAATAATAACAAACTGATAACATCTTTTTTTAATCATAGTACCACACATTAAAACTCCGCTTTTTATGTCTGTATCCTCTTATATAAAATTATATATATATCCCTAAATGGGGATTGTCTCAGGAAAGACGGGTTAATATACGGCTAATATACGGCGTTACCGGATACATTAAAAGATATTTAACAAATTCGGTTTAGCGCTACCGGAAATGTTGACTAATAATAATTTAGTAGGTCTAAGTCATGAAGAAATATTAAAAAATTGTGCAACCGGCAAACTTAACTTGTCGGTTCGTGTCGATCCAAATTAAAAATGTGTCGATCCAAAACGATATAACATGTAAAACTATAACAAAACCGGTATTGAAATGATAAAACCGGTAAAGCGCTACCGGATACATTTAAAGTGTCGGTACTTTAATATAAGGATCGACACTTCGTGAATTTAAAAGAGAAGCAGTTTTAAATCCTATAAAGTGTCGATACTTTTAAAAATGTATCGATCCAAAACGATATACCAGGTAAAAATATGATAAAACCGGTAAAACATTACCGGATATATTGAAAGTGTCGATACTTTATACAAGGATCGACACTTTGTGAATTTAAAAGAGAAGCAGTTTTAGCGCCTATAATGTGTCGATACTTTAAAAAAAATATCGATCCACAACGATATAACAGGTAAAAATATGATAAAACCGGTATCAAAATGATAAAACCAGTAAAACGATACCGGATATATTGAAAGTGTCGATACTTTCGTAAGTACGTGTAATAAATTATCGACACTTTCAAAGAAATAGGTAATTATCCTTTCGAAAGTATCGACACCTGACATAAAAGTATCGACACTTTTGTATTTGTATCAATTAAATATAAATAACATATCCGATGAAAATATAAAGGTCATATCTAAATATCCTCTGAAAATCGATAGAACGGACGAGTTTTTGAAATCGAAGCGTAATTGTTGCTGCATTTCAGAAGGCGTTTCTAAAGCGATGTTTGTTTGTTTGTTGATGCAGTCGAATCGAAAAGTATGTGTTGAAACCCTAGTTTTTTATTATTACAGTAATCGCGAATAGGGTTTTTATGTGTTGTTTGGGGTTTTGGAGTAAAGAAGCATTTGGGACCGATTGCAGTAGAAAGTGATATTGAAGGTAAAATATAAATGTCGATACTTTTATTAAATATTATAGGTAGAAAATGATATTATAGGTTGTATAAATGTGCCGACACATTTTGTAGTGGCCATTCAAATTCTTTTGAAGAAAACCGTTTTACCACAAGAGTAGTTATCTATATTTGTATATTGAATAAAGTGTATGTAATAAAATAATTTGATTTGCGTAAACTGATATATGAAGAAAAAATGGAGTCAATGGGTTGGAAAATTGTTGGTGGCGCAGATGACTTTGAAATTGAGGCCGAGACTCGAAAGCAACCAAAGGGTAGATATATGTACTTCTAGTAAGTATTAATGTCTTTCTGTTATTATTGTTGAAATGGTAATTGGATTAAAGTATCGATAAACTTTAAATTGATTACAAATTTTAAATGTTGACAGTATGGCCGAATGCAAAAGGATGAAGGAAGATGGCACACAGAGCGGTTTGGTATGTAAAATGAAATTGACATTGAGTAGTATTTAGTGTTAATGTATTGATTAAGAAACGTTTATGTTTAATATTAGGTGACAAAAGATGTGAGGTCCAAATGGAATTCAATGAGTGATGCTGAAAAGGAACCTTACATCACACAGTCAAGGGACGATAGTAAAGAATACAAAGAACGGAGGAAAGCACATGAAAATAAGGTATTCATTAAACTTGTAAATACGTTGATACAAATATATAAGAACTATAACATTATATATTGTTAAAAAAATGTAGGAAGTGTCGACAAGATGCAGCATTAAAAGGGTGAATTCATTAATTAAACACCTTAAGGAGAA